CCTGGCGCGCCATGGCCTCGCCGCCCCGTAGGCAGCTGTAGATGCCCTGCGGAGAGAACGGGGGGGGGCCCCCCCACCATCAGCAGGGTCACCGGGGTCTGCACCCGTGAACCCGCCCTGCCAAGCCAAGATGACGCTGCTGAGGCTGAGATGTCTTAATGGCACCGATGTCCCCTCCCCAGCATCCCCAGCACTGCCAAGGTGGGTGACGCCATCTTCCGTCACCCCTTCCCCCAGGGATGCTAATACGGATGCGGGGTCATTCCCAGGGCTGAGCCCTTTCCCCAAAACCTGGCTTTTCTCCCCAGCCAAGAGCTCACATCAGCACTCCAGTCCCTCCCGTGCCGGTCGAAGGGACGATGCCCACCAAGCCATGCCCATCCCCATGACACCATGGGAGGACATTTGGGCCCCTCGAGAGCCCCCGGCAGCATCACTCACCCTGCTGATGGCCAGGAGGAAGTCAAGCTTGTGGGACGTGGGGACGGAGTGACGCAGCTTCCAGTAGACGAGGTGCTCCCAGGCGAAGACCAGCAGGCTCAGCCCCATGGCCACCAGCAGCATGTAGAAAACCCCGGCCATGTTGTCGATGTCCAGCTTGCTGCTCATCACCTCGTTCTTCTCATTCTGGCAGATCCCCGAGAGCCAAACCGTCTCCAGCTTCTGGGTCTCGCCTGGGGCCGGACATGCACAGCGGGGAGGGGTGTGTGTGAAAATGAGCCCCCCCGGGCATCATCTCCCCAAGCACAGCCCCTGCCTGTCCCCACCCCACCGTGGCTGGAGGAGAAGAAAGCCACCCCCAAGCCCCTGGAGCGGTTATCGCCTAATCCTTGCTGCTGCCCTTGGCCTGAGCATCCACCACACACTTGTCCTTATCCAGGGCCCTCTCCTGTCTCTGTCCCCCACCCATGTGCCAGACAGCTGTGCTCATTGTCCCCTTCCCAGGCTTCTCCTCCCGACCCTCAGAATTTGTGCGTGGCCATCTCCAGGATTTTACAGCCCGCAAGAAGAGGAGGGACCCCGGTGGGAATGACCGCCCCCCCAGCACCCAGCTGGAGAAATGCTGCTGGATTTAATGTCACCTGAAAGGAGCTGGTGGAGACCATCTGACCCAACCCCTCGGTGACATCTTGCAACGAGCCATGGAGGCTGCGCAGGGTCCGGGGACCAAAGCCACCCGCACTGGGGAAGGCGCAGTGACGCCTGGTCCCTGGGTTAATTTGCAGGGCAGGGGCGAGGTGAGGACGGGGACAGGGCTAATGAGAAGCTCGCCCGGGCACCCACCGTCTCCCAGGAACTGGAGCAGGGCCAGGTCGATGGCCCGCTTCCAGTGCGAGTCCTTCTGCAGGGCGATGCCGTAGCCCGTGGTGGCGAACACCTTCCCGCTGCCGATGGTCACCAGCTTGCAGCCCTCGTCCTTGCCCGCCATGTAGTTGAGCACTGCCGCATCATAGATGAAGGCGTCCAGCTTCCTGCCCCGAAACCAGGAGGGAGGGTGAGGACGGTGGCCCAGCAGCCCTTTTTTGGGGGGCTGTACCCCTTTTGGGGGAGCTGTACCCCTTTCAGGTAACTGTAGCCTGTCTGGAGGGGGTTGTGTCCTCTTCGGGGGATCTCTGTCCCACCTGGAAGAGCTGCAGCACCA